ATATGCCTCAAAATCGAACGCCCTCATATTCTCAGCCCCCGCTTTCCACGTCGTGATGTATCTGCGGTGCAGCCGGCACTGCCGGCGGCTCTGAGCACGGGGGACATGAGCGTGTCCCGGTGCCCGGCCCTGCTCGCAGGGGCAGCTGCAGGCCGATTGCACCGCGGGGCTCGTTACAGAACTACGTAATCAGCTGCACACCGTCCCGGCCGCCGCTCTGCTGCGGGGCTCCCTGCGCGGGCGGCTGAGCTGGAGGGAGGCTGCGCGTTCGCTCGCGGCGCCCGGCCGGACCCCGCAGCGTTGGCGCCTGAGCCGAAGGGCTGGGGGAGATCCCGTCCGCCTCGCCTGGGGCATGGAGTAACGGGCAAGCAGAAGGCAGCAAGATGAAGGTCAATGTAAGTACGAGATGATTTTATTTCTCTTGCAATTAGCTGCAGTGTTTGTTTCATTTGCAATGGAAGTTTATACGGGGTAAATAACTGTATCTGTCAGGATTGCTGTTCAAAGGGTGCTGATGATCCTCTGCACAGGTTACTAGTAGAACACGTGGTCTTAATTTTTAAAACATATTCTGTGCCTAGCTGAAAAATGCTTTATCAAGAACAATAGGCTGCCCAAGAAAGGTGAGGTTTTCTGCCATTAATATTAGACAATGTTACACTTTACCACAGAAATAAACTGAATCTAAAAGGCTGGCCCTTGGATACCTCTTGCCTTTTTCATTTTCCTAGGGCTATTGAATATAAATTACTAAAAATGGTCTTGAGTTTATACATCATTCTAAAGAGGAGCCACACGTGCATTTTTTGCCATCAATTACTAGGAAATAGCCAACGCAAATGTGTTAACACCTGAGGTCACTTTTTGATATAGAAATACCAGGTAATTTGAAAACGAGCCATGCGAGGCTGAGGCAGCTTTTGTACTCTAGGATAATGTGACAGACCCCGTGCGACAGCGACAACTGAAGCTCAGAAGAGGAAAGCACCGGCTTAGCAAGCACCATGCTGCCCTGGGAGGAGAGGGGGACTTGTACATGGTGCATAGACCCCGCCTGGGGTTTATTTGTTAGTCTTGGCTCCCAGACCCYGGCACAGCGTGCGTGCAGATGCCGAGCGCTAGCTTGCCTTGCGGTAGGTAGGACAGACCCTGGCTATGAAAGGGAGTGTTCCAGCCTAATGTCACAGCTGATCCCGGGCAGCTGTATCGCAGAGCAGGAGCCCTGCCCGTTCCCTGTGCTCCCTAGTCACAGCCCAGCGGCTGCCTCCCTTAGTGGTTGGGGCAGGTGAAAAGCCATCGACTTCTCTTCCCATAAAAAAGCTGAAATTTCAGATAAAGGAAGTTAAAAAAAAAAAAAAAAAAAAAAAAGCCCTAATTTCTTTGTCTTTAAAAAAGTCTTTAAAAATGTCTCTAATGTCTTTTAAAAAGTCCCATCTTGGTGTAGATAATGGCAACGAGGGCCGGGGGAAGCTGGTGCCTTTAGGAAGCTGCAGCGTGTCCACTGCTTCATTATGAATCAGAGGGAGCCGCCTCGCTCGACCATCTGCTCCGCACTTATCGGTCAGTCGTTATTCAGCTAGTCAGATATCTCTGTGACATCCGTGTAGGCTGCAGCATCTCTACTGCGAGTAATGTGGGCTCCGGGGACGGCGTCCGGTGGCACCTGCGCTCCGAGCGGGAAGGGTGCACAGCAGCCACTGCAAATTAGAGACTGTAATTAAGGACGTGGCCATGCACTATTTATTCGGGGAATGGTAATTTCAGCAACCACGAGGGGAGCCCGTTTKCTTGCCTGGGGGGGAAGTGCAGGAGACAAAAATGATGATTGATTGGTTCTGTTCTCTGCTACATTTCTCTCTAATTAGCGCTTTTTGGGAATGAAGGGGGAATGGGACAAAGGTTTGCTTCAAAGCACAACCTATTGTGCGAGCCGTGCATGGTCAGCTCTGCTCCCATGGCCCATTCTAGGAAAATCTGCCAATTCCCTGTGCAAGCAGAGGAAGACAAGTATTAAAAACTTCCTTTTAAGTCTTAACACCCCAGTATTAAAGACTCTGTGCTAAACACTTACTGCTTAGAACCTGGAAAGAAAAAATTAATACTCATCAGAACTTTCTGCATTTTAAAATCTCTGTTTGAATATAAAYTTTGTGGTAAAATACAAAGCAGATACTAAAAAAGTTCAGAAAGAAATCAGAAAAGCAAATTAATTTGATGCATGTGGATAGAGAAGGTTGGTGTGGCAGGAGGAGCCCAAGCCCAGAAATACATATAGATGTATTTTGTACATATGAAGAAATGGCAGTTTGTTTTTCTTAGAACTCAGGCATGAAACAGCACATGTGTAAATATGAAAAATGGGAACAAAAGCCGGGTGTTACTTAAAACACTGGGATTTTCGTTTTTGTTTTAATACAGCTAGAGGTTGATTAACTTCATTTATGAAGAAAGTAGAACTGAGGAAAATTAACCAAATTGTTTTATAAACCCTAACATTGTATCACTGGCTAAATGTGATTCCACACAGGTTCTCCTCTAAGCAGTTCCACATGAAGTTTGAAAACTAGTTGTTCTTTATTTTATCAAAGACTGATTTGACTTTCAAAGCTTTAAATCTGAAGGAACTTGATTCCATCTTTCAAAAATTAATTAAGCYTTTGAATAAGGATTAAAGGCAAGTCCTGGCATTCCATTYTTGCTTAAATGCAGCTCTTTAAAATATCTATAGAAAAAAACATGTGGGACTTTTGTCTAACCAGAAAACATACACCAACAATACAATAAAGTATAAGGAGCTTCTGCAAGTGACAGAAGAAGTACCGCAGCCAGCGGGACGGCCAGCAGCTCACAGCTGGGAGGAGGTCACACACATGTGGAGGAAGCTCAGAGCACTTAGGATATGTTCTTCTTTCTTCTGTACATGTTCAGCTCTGTCTACAATTAATTGAATTGGGCAAAAGTTAAATTGACTGAATTTGAGCTTCTATTTGCACAGGACTTCTCTGGGAAACTCGTTCCCAGCTAGCAGGGCAATGGAGAATGTTTATTTCTTCAGCTTCGTTCAGAGGTGAAGAGATTAACTGGGAACAGTTATGTAAACATGTCAGAGGCTATCRCTGATGCATCAGCATAGCTGGCTTGCAAACACAGCCCACTGCCTTCAGTGGTATCTCTTCCTTCTGCTCAACTACTTGAAGTCTCATTTTCCTGCAATAAAAGTGCTTCATCCACAAAAGAAACCCCCAGGACTGAAACTGTGTCTTCGTAAGAATATTTCCATAGGTGTTAAAGAAACAAAGAAAAGGCAATAGAAGACAAAATAATTGTTTTTTGGGTTTTTTTTTTTTTTTTTTTTTTAGTTTAGAAATGAAGATGCTGTGAAGTATTAGCACAACTATAAATCAGATGAAATTTTACGTAGCAGTGGTTTGGAGTTTCCAAACACAAACTGTGGGAATACAGAAAGGATGATGCGAATTTATTTTCTTACTAGTATTATAGACTCAGGATAAGGATCAGGATGGGAAAGGGGTTCCTAGTAATATTGAATACTGTAGAAGTTGTAAGGTTTTTTTATTTGTTTTGCATCAGTGTAAACATTTATTATGCATATAGAACACAGATGTGTGCAGCCCACTTGGAGATTATGGAACTGAATTTTATGGACCATACAAAAAGGTACAATTATCAGGATTGTTCATGCTTAACTTTTCATGTCTTTGTGAATATACACGAGTGAGCAGCTTTTGTTCTGGAGACTCCCAAGCACTGCTTATTCTTTGCAGCAGACCCAGTGTTGCTGGGTATCCAAACAATAAAGATGAGAAAGGGAGTCAGAAAGAAAGAAAATGGATTTGTAGGGAGAGTTACACTCTTGTATTAGGTCAACTGGTCCAAAAAAAAGAACATCTACCCCCAGGTACACCCAGATTTCTCTTTAGGCCTGAGCTAACTGAGCCCGTGTTACCAGATGTCTTGCCCTTCAGGAAAGCCCTCCAATCTGGGCGGCTCAACGTAAGCCAGCTCATCTGCGTTGCTAAGACGAGGTCACGGGCCCCAGCGCGGGGAGGACAAGGTCTCGAATTGAGGCCACTGTGACCTGTCATGGCCTGGTCAAACCTGCCCAGCTCAGGGAGGGCCGGGCCGCGCTGAGGTGCTGCCTCACACAGCAGCAAACTGGTTTTAAGATGTTCTTCGTCTCGGAAAGTCTTTCCAGGGCCGCCCAAAGGGAAGAACCAACAAATGTCAAAGCAGAAAAACACTTTGATGTCTTCTTTGTTGCTTTAGTACTTATGCTGGTTATTGTAAGGACACATTAAAGAGATCACATAAAGTAACTAGGAACTACACACAGCTGGCCGAGATGGCATTCTGTGGATGATAGCGTTAGACAGGCGGTTTCCGCTTCTCTGGTAATAAAGAAAAAATGCAGATCCCATTGGCTGCAGCGCACAGCCTCTTCCTATCCAAGCATCCATAAGGTCTCTGTGATCCTGGGAATGCAAGAGTTGTTTATGTTTAATGGCAGGTCAGAGATACTTCTGCTTACATGATAGAAAGGGGCTGCCACAGTGATTCTTTACATATGTCCTTGAGAGCTGGAAGTGTAGATAGCGCCTGATTTCTGACTAACAGCCTCAAATTAGGCAAGCCAGATCCTGCACTACAAATAACCTCGCTCCATGTAACTGTAGATACAACGGGTAGACCTTCACTCTCCATCTGTTTTACATCAGATGGATGTTCTTCATCCCACGCTCACCTGTCACAAATATCCTGTAATTTTAATCCACAAAATTGCCTGTGTTTGTCTTCGCTGTCAGCTTGGCATGGTGGGTGTTAAACCCACACTAGGTTGGTCTTCAAGGTGTGTTCTAGGATCCTGGGCTCATATGGACCAATTCCATAACCGGGACTCCCACAACTGCTGGAGCTCATGCCAGTGGTTTCTAAACTGCCAGCAGCAGTTTGGTGATAATTCTGCATAAACGAAAACCCTCATGGGTCTTTTTCACACTAGCCCCCATTGCTATCGATGCTGGAGAGACCAGGTAAGAAAACAACCACAACACTCAGAAAGGAAATAAGAGAAGAAGAGGAGCTTTCTAGCCCTATAGAYAGAGGAGCAAAGGAAGATGAAGAACAAAATGCAAAGTTGTTCAACCTCCTATTTCTTATGTCTTGTGAAAATGCTTCCCCTTCCGTATTTTTTGGGAGGAGGTCAGAATTCGGCAGAGGGTAAGTTACTTGAGTTACGTGGCATTGCTCGTATTCATTTTTACGTGGCATTGCTCATATTCATTTTTACAACATACTGATGTTTGCCAGGTTGTGGGCAGTGAAAATATATATAGATGTGCCTGTTGAAAGGAAGAAGTTGGGGTTTAGGGTTTTTTTTTTCTTTGGTGTCAGTGGGTTTTTTTTTGGTTTGTTTGGTTTTGTTTTTTCATCCTCATATCTCGCTGCAACAGATGACTGACAGGGGAGGCTAAAAAGGAACAAGAATAAACAAAACAATGAATAAAGTCTAAAGTCTCTGTAAATTTTCTTACAGAGTATCCTAGAAGAGCTGCCATACAGAGCTTTGTATTTGTGTCAATTTGCCCTACTATAAAACAAAACTTTTTGGGAGGTGTTCTTTAAAAGAGGTTTACCTGACACCTTCCTGGGGTTTGGTGGCTACAAGTTACTAACATATTCTGCAGTTCAGGTGTTTCTACTTACTTATAAATCTCCTTTTAAGATGAGTTCCAAGACAAATGGTGTCTCACCGTGGGCTACTTGCCCTTGGATGTTTGCCCAGCTTTTATTGGCAAAATTGAAGGGATATATGCTGAATAGACCCCTACGCTGAAAAACCTTTTGACTTTCATGTTCTAACCTTAAAATTTCACTTTTTGTTCACTGTGGACACCCCTGATATTAGCACATGAAATGTTTGTCAGTTGAGGTTTGACCTCTTCTTTGCAGAATACCTTTGCTATTGAATGAAGTATTGACTGACTTCTCTGCTTACACTGTCCTGGCTCTTCTCTCAGTTTATTTGGAGGCAGAGCTAGTTTGTCCAGGAAAATAGATGAGAGACATCTGAACATGTGAAAYGTTTTATCCTCCTAGTAGCTGCTGCAGTCACGTTTGAAAGTTGCAGATGGGAAGAGCACCTCCTCCCTTTTATAATTGGGCTGTGGTGTAGATTTACCATTTGCAGAAATACTCAACGAGGTATATGGTCCAGAATTTATTTTAGCAAAAGTCAGTGTATTTACTCTAAAACAACTGAGATTTGAAATTAGRCTTGTGTATGCTGATTAACTAAATATGGTGTGTTCAGTTTGCTATTTCAAGAAGAAATAATTAGCTGGAATAATGATGACAACTAGTTGCTTTTAAAAATTACACTGTGAACCAAATTTTCCTATTATTTTTATTGGTGTAACTGGGAAGGACGGTCTTGTTGTCTAAGGCAATATACAGGACYTCAGTTCCTCCACGTTTGGACTTCCTGGTTCTACCACCGGTTTCCTGTGTGATCTTGGATAAAGCTCTTAATATTTCAGTTGCCTGTTTGCAAAAGAGGGAGGGCTCTCCCTTCGCCTGCCCAGCCTCTTCAGACCTAACAAGAGGGACCTTTATTTTATTTTATTTTACAATGCTCAATAAAAAAGGTGTCAAATTATAAGCCAAATTTAGAAGTGTCACCAATTAATAATAGGAAAAGTAGTTTCTCTATATTTTAATTGATTATTTGCAATTGCCATGCGATACCAAGCCCAAACCCTCCCCAGGCTGCAGTCTATGATGAGATTCCTGGAGGCCTGATTTAAGCACAGGTGGTTCAGAGCTTTTGCCGTTGTCCAAAGACAGGGTGGGCCACCACATCCATGGCAAGAAGACTGCTTTAACCATACTATGACATAAGGATAATGGGACTGTTGTTGTCCATCTCAGACAGCTGTTAATGGACAAACCCGTGTATGATAAAAAGACCATTGTTCATGGTCATCCTTACAAAGACATGTATGCTGCTAACAAGAGGCCACTTCATCAGCTGAGCTGCCAAATTGATTTTCTTCTGCTGTTACTTCAAAACAGCTGTTGCTTCACAGCAAATGCTCTGGACAAAAATACGAGGCATCATGTTTCCTATTTGGGCACTATCTCTCTGGACATGACTTGCTCTTTCTGATAAGAAATTAATGCTAGAACATATCCACTGGGGAGTGACCAGCCTCACTTCAAAGTCGAAGGCAAACGTGATGTTGCACTGAAAAACACCATGTCCAGTTCTTTTTACAGAGCTACCTTCTGCAACTACTTTGCATTAACCATCATCTTGAAATGATCAAGCAATTGCAGTTAGGATCAGCATATCCTCATATGCTAAAAATAAAGAAAGTTTATCCCACACACTGATAATTGCCACAAATTTATAGGCTTCAACCAAGGCAGATAGGGCTGCTCTGTGGTCAAGCAGCCCACTAGAACCCTGGAAAATATGAATATTTGTTCTCTCACAGATTTTCTATGATGTTTCTGAAAATGTTACTCTCTTTTTCCTTTTCACTTACTCTCTTCTTCCTTGGTTTTCTGTCTAAAACATATAAGAGCACTGCATGAGGATGCTGAAAGATGCATTAAAGATTCAAGTATCTGGRTACTGGTAGTGTCTGTATTGTGGAGAGAAAGGTGGACACTGCGTCAGATGTGCTTGCCTGAAGATAAGCCTGTGAACGCACTGTTTTGCACTGAAGATTACCAAGCTAATTGGTTTGGCATTATAGTACACAAACAAATCTCTAGATTTGTCCCCAAGCTGACGGGACATGTAAGAGGATCCCATTACTGTGGGATTCTCTGTATGAGGTAGTATCCATCTTACTCGTCCAGGGCGGCATGGGCACATCGAGCTGATGTCTGTGCCCCGCAGCAAATCAAAGATATCTTTTAGGGACATCATCGATCATGGGCACTTTGCCTGTGTCTTAGGGTTAAAGGAAAATAAGGGTTTTTTTGTTTTGTTTTGTTTTTTCTTCAGGAAGGAAATCATCAGCTTCACTTATGTGCAGCTGAAGTCCTCAGACAGTTAGCAGTGAGAGAGATGTGAATTTATCTTTGGTTTGGTGATGCATTTCCTGTGTGACTTTGACTTCTTATWAAAAAAATTTAGAATACCATTGAAAAAAGTACCTATCTTTCATATATGGATTTTCATAAAGTCAAAATAATGAGTGTTAGCAGTGTTCTTTGAGAATCTCAGCAGAGAAAGATGATGAAGAAATATATAACAGGATTATTCTGCACTGTATAGAACAGAGGACGCATGCTGAAAAAGCTTAACCCTATGAAGCCAATGCTCTTGAGGTTGTTCAGTATTAAAACTGACAGGTTTGAATTAAGCTGAAATTAAAGTGAAGATAAAAGCGAGACTGGCGACCAGTGTAACATTTCTATTTGTGTAAAGGATGCAAAGCCCAATTTTGTTTTCCCCTCTCCAGAACAGTCTGGCGAAGGCTCTGTATGACAACAAGGCAGAGTGCTCGGACGAGCTGGCCTTCCGCAGGGGAGACATCCTGACCGTTCTTGACCAAAACGTCATCGGCAGTGAGGGCTGGTGGAAATGTTCCCTCCACGGGAGACAGGGCCTGGCTCCCGCTAACCGCCTCCAGCTGCTGGGTGACTGTCAGGTGGACCTGCCATCTCCTGCCACCCGGAGCGACAGCGCCGAGCTGCCAGCCGCACAGCAAAACATTTACCAGGTCCCCTCTGTCCCCAAACCTGCCACGTCGTCGTCTGCCTATGAAAAGATGGACGGCTGGGTGAAATCACCAGCTACGATCTCCACTCTGCCTGCCCAAGGGCTGTACCAGGTACCAGCCTTGGCTGCACAGGTGCTCAGTGAAAGGATCCAGAGCTCAAGAAATCAGGTAAGAAAATGAGCAGATAATAAAGGGGAAAAAATGTTATAATTAAGACAATTATTAGGAGATGAAAAATGCTGAATTTGCAGAAAAGTTACTTGAATGATGTTTAGGAAACTCTTAAAATCTACTACAGTTTATAGTCTTATACAAGAAGTGTTACTCTGGGCAAAATACAATATCTTTTTTTCTTTTTTTGGCGGGGTCAGTTTAGGACAGCTGTAGAATAGGACACTAAGTAAAGAATATACAATTTGTTTGAAGGGGCCTAGGAATGATTTGCATTCCATTCCCAAAATTAGAAAATCCAGAACTTTCTCCTGTGATGGAGCTGTGCATATGAAGATGCATCTWCATCTTCATCTGCATCTACAAGATTCCTCTGGGGTCTCTGCAATCATCTGCACAGGAAGATGGCTTGTAATAAGTAAACCAGCCTTGCTGAAAGGCTTTCTTTGATCTAGTTTTTCCTGTTTCCAGCTCCTCGGCAAGCTCAGAGCGCTGTCGCTGTCTGTCTCTTCTGCCATTCAAGGTTGTCATTAGCCTTGCAGAAAACAGACAGCTACCTGCTTTAGACATGCTGGAGGAGACAGGGACTCCTTGCTCAATAGCAAGAGCAAGTGGCTCTGCCAGTCTGTGCTCCCAAGGGATGTGAGCAGTCACCAGCCCCTCAAGGCACACAGGGAAGATGCAAGCCTTGTTCTCCAGGGATTCATTACAGTTTCCTGACCTGAGTTTCCTGATCTGGCCCTTTTTTTATTCTCTGCAAACTCAGATTGGGTGACATATGGGGGGAAAAAAAGCCTTTTGCACGTGGTATTACCTGATTTCTCCTCATTCCTAACCTTAAAGAGTCATTCACAAACATTCACAAATAGTGTGTGATATCAATATACATTTTCCACGATGTATCARCAAATCAGGCCCTGAAGCTGCCAAATGACATCATCTATTTATTTGAATAAGTGACACTAGGTAAGAGTTAATCAGCTTTTTGGGTCTGTCATTTCAGGATGATGCCCTCTGATACCCAAGCCTTGTTTTCCTTAACGGACACCACAAGATAATGCCCTACCCTGCTTTTACCCCTCGGAAGCTCAGATTTTCCCGAGCTGCCCCTCGCACCACGTCACAGCTGCTCCTWCAACAACTGTCCCGGTGTGGCCACACGCAGATGCAGGCAAAGGGCCTCTGAGTGCTGGCCACAAACCGAGGTGCTCGGGAGCGCCCCGTGCAGATCCATTGGGACAACTGGCAGAGCTCCTAACATACTCAGCTGTTCTCTGAGCAGCTGCCTAAAGCCCCTGGAAGGATTTAAGGGAGCTGACTGAAAGCAACAAAACAAAACAAAATCCCTCAGAGCCTACAYGCTTTCAGCCTACATAAAAGCACTGTCACTTCTTTATTTGTTGCTTAATACACAGAGCAGTTTTTTTGCTCTACTGTGACTGAAAGGACTTGAAAATAATTTATTCTTCACAGAGCCAGAGATGGTATTGAGCGAGCTTCCTTTTTATTACTTACTGGATGAGACTTGCCCTTCTGAAAACAGGTTTGGGCTAAGGATAACATTTATCTTTTATCCTCATCTTGGAAAATGCTTTTTTATGCTTCTCTTAGTATTGTTTTGCAAACAGGATAACTCACACAGCAGAGCACAAGGGGGGGTTGTGTTAATTTTTCATTTCCTTTCTTCAGAGAAAAGCTTTCACAAATAAGAAACAAGCAGATGTAATCCTGTTCCTCTACCACATTTCCACTAAATTAAGTGACTTCAGCTCATATGTTGTAGAATGATCTTTCCAATTTTTAAATAATCTGCTTCCAGTTGTGCTTCCATGGGTCAATAGTTTGCAGTTATAACAGTCCTCTTCCAAAGTGATCGGGGAGAGCCAGGCTGAACCCATGAGAAAAACTCATAATGGATTGGGGGTCAATAAAAAGTCCCTTTCCAACACTTGGCATCTTACCTAACTGCCCTACAGATCTGATTGTAGATCTTGAAATAATGCATAAAGAAAATTAATCTATAGCTGACCTAGATAATGGAATTTCTATACCAAGTTCTCTGTTTATGGAGCTGGACAGTCCATTGAAATAACCATGTTTATTGCTTCTGAAAGAGTAAATCTTATTTTGGTACAAAATAATGCATCTCTACCTGGACCTTCTTGCTGGTCCTGCTCCCGTTATATGTGGTTTGACCTACTGGCTCTCTGAGAGACTGCAGAAGTAGAAATTCCCCTGTTTCTTTTTTTGGTGGTTCTGCTTTTGCATAGTCAGAAGGCTTAGATGATATCTAAAGCTGTAGTTTCTCCCAGTCTTTTCCCTCCCTTGGTTAATAAGTCCAATTCTCTTTAATTTGTATGCGTCAGTTCCTATCTGAGATAAAGTGGAAACGCTGGCAAAGAAGGATTACAATTATTACCACAAGAAGAGATACCAGGCCTGCTTTAAAGTCAGTTCTTGTCTGCTAGCCCCAGTGAACATTTGAAAGGGTTTGAATATGATCTGCTTAACTAATCGAGCTTTAAAAGAGGTCCTGGGCTCGCTGTGGGTTTCTCAAGCTGTTTTTCCCCCCTCTAAGCACCTGCTGACGCTCCCGCGAGCCTGCCGGGCCTCTGCCCCCAACATCAGACGAGAGGTTTACGACGTTCCAGCCGCGCAGCGCCGCGAGTCCCTGTTCACGCGGGTGAGTCCCGCGTCCCGGCCGGCAGCCCGGCCACCCCGARCCCCTTGCACGGCCCTCCCGGGAGACCTTAGAATACCCTTCAGAGGAAATTCTACCGTTTTCCTGTTTGTTTTGAAATCTTCTGTTAAATCTGGCAGAAACTCATGCTTTTTTTTTTTTWGGGAAGTTCAAAACCTAAAGCAGTTTTCTTTTGAATTTGTTATAAATCTGGCTATGTTTCCAATGAAAATGAACACTTTTGGTTTTACCTTGACTCAGTTATGAGGCACCTTTTTAAGGATGAATTCCCCATGTCAGGCAGACCCACCAGCCTCTTGGTTTACCTGTGAGGAAATGGGACTTTTTTCCTTGTTGACTGAGGAAGGTTTAAGTGTTTTCTATAAACTGTCGTGAAATGTTTACAGAAGAGGCATTAGTGCATGTACAAATGGAAACTAAAAGGTCACCCACCCTCCCTCTGGGCAACAAAATGCAAGGGATTAGATCATGTAACCCTGATATATTAGGCGTAAGAGCCTTTTGAATCCACCCCTTGGAGCAACCTGTCATATGATCTTTTTCTTGACACTGCAATTCCTGGGGTAGACTGAATGTCACTCCAGCAATCAACAAATGGCTTGTTTTGCCCACTCTATATAAATGGGGTGGTCCCTGTTCAGACCGAAAGCCAAAGTGTTGGTGACAGCTTCCTTGCACCACCTAGCGCCCGTCCTCCCCCAGGCTGTGGGAACAAGGAGCTCCAAACCMTATGACCCAAAAGCCTTTGGTACCACAGCATCTTCAGCAGGCTCGGAAATGAACTGAAGCCAACCTGTGTATTTTCCTTTGACTAGAGTGGTGCCACTCCACCCACAAGAAGGAAGGKCTCTGCGCTGTTCAGATCCACTGAGGCTTTCCGGGAAGAGCCAAACCAGGTTTATGACATCCCGTCCAGCCCAGAAAAGGCAGGGGCCACTATCCAGAAAGACTCCCCAGGGAGCAACGTAAGTAGGAATCACTGGATATGAGAGTAATATCTCTCTAGTACTGTGCCGCTCTTCATATGTGCTGACCCTCCCTGAGGTGGGTTTGCAGGTGGGTTGCAGTGATGGGACCAGCACATCTTCAGCACAGCTCATGGTATTTGATGTTAAAGGAACAAATACTACCTGGCTCCTGGGAGTCAGGACACCTAGCAGGGCTGGAACTTACTGTCTTTTTAGAACGTCCTACATTCTTGAATGTCTGATTGTTTAGGCAGACAGAAAAAAAAATGTACGTATTTTGTCCCATGTGCCCATGTGATAATATTTCAAAATATATGACAGTCCCATGTGCTCTGTTGCAGTTATATGATGTCCCTCCTAAAAGAGAATCTGATGTTTCAGAAAATGGATCTCAGAAAAAGTGCTGGGGCCATTACAACACCTTGCCAAATCCTCGGAAGTCAGAATGGATTTATGATATTCCAGTATCACCAGAAAAAAAAGGATTAAAACCAAGCCCTCTTGGCCATTCCTTGGAGAACGAGGTGCTGTATGATACACCACCAGCCAGGTACAGGGCTCTCATGACAAATATTGAAGCCAAAGTTGCAACTCCACAGTTATACGATRTTCCACCGCCCCAAAACAAAGCAGTGTTTCCAGATGTCCCTCTTTATGACGTTCCATCTTCACGGGAGATGCTCCTTTTGCGACCAAATGCTATCCATGATATATCCCCAAGTCTCTCGACTCCAAAGGCTGAGAATCAGATTTCTGAAGGGAACGTTTATGATATTCCAAAAACTTTGCAGTGCAGGAAGGAGATTGGAAAAAATAACAAAAGTTCTGGAGATGTTAAATTGGAACAGGACAGAGCATCTCTTTCCAGTGTGGAGAGCAGGACCAGCACTACCTCTACATCCTCAAGCTCTTCTGCTGAGTCCCCTTCTGTGTCATCATCAGAAGAGCATGGCAAAGAAATGAAACTGGACCTTGAGATGGCCATAGAGACACTGACTAGATTGCAGCACAGTGTATCGAGCTCCATTGCGAGTTTAATGATCTTTGTGAGCAGTAAATGGAGATTACAAGAACACCTAGAGAAAAACATTGAAGAAATCCATAGAGCAGTTGATCACATAAAAGTCTCGATGGGAGAATTCTTGGCCTTTGCTCAAGTTATAAAGGCAAATGCTTCGTACGTCACTGATAACAACCTTCAGACCAGAATTAAAAAACAGCTAGAAATTCTGGTGAACTCATTCCAAATCTTAATAGAAACAAGACAGCAATTAAACAATTGCAACTGGAAGCTAGAGGTGTTGGTTATGAAGAAACCTCAGAACAACCCAGACGATCTCGATCGCTTTGTTATGGTAGCGCGCACAATTCCTGATGACATCAAGAGATTCGTATCCATCGTCATTGCCAATGGAAAGCTTCTCTTCCGCAAGAATGAYAAGGAGCAAGAAATGAAGCAATCAAAAACAAGCACAGAATATAAAATGGCCAAGCAAATCACACGGCCCAGGAGAACAGAAGTGGATTCACTTCAAAGAAATGATAAGCCAAACCACAGTCAAGTCTCTTCTGATAAGCCAAAAGAAAATGCCATTGAGGACTGTGATTACGTCCAGCTACAGGTTAGTATAACATGACTGTACTACCTGTATTCTGCTTGATTGTTGGCAGATATTAAGCTACTAGAATTGTTTTAATTTTGTATTAGTACAAGCATCTTTTTCCAGACTGCGTAGGAACTAAGGATTTTATTGGAGTACGACGTGGTACAGCTACCATGATCAGTAATTAGAACTTGAGTCACAGAATTTACCTTTTACCTTAGAAAACATTTTAGCTTACCCATTTAAATTAACTTAATACATAGCTTTTACTCGGGGTTTAAGCAATATATTTCTTGTCTTCAGACTAGTAGTTCTATTCTTGCCAACATATTTTGTGTGTTGACTCTGACACCACGATATAAGAGAGGTTGACCTTCTAAACTGGCATGGATTAGAGAAGCAGTTTTGTAGGGAAAAAGCCCGTCACTTAAAAACAAATTAAACTCTTGCTGTGAATTGTCAATTTTCTTTTTTGTTAGAAAGTTCTGGATGATTGTTAGAGGAATGACTCTCCTGAGAAGTACCAAAATGCCAGCTAAGCTAACTCTTTAAGTCATTTTATAACGAAAGGATTATAAAGAATTTAGGATACATTACATTTTGTTCAGGTTAGTTTCAGTCTTAGATCTTGCAGAATCACACATTGAATTTTTATTAGAAAAAAAATTTTACTTCTAATAAAATTATCATTGTAGCCCGAATAGGCTGCATATTATTGTAGCACATAAAGCTGCAATGCAAGCAGGCATTTTTTCCCTGAAATAAGGTAAAACCAAATCCATGTTGAAATACTTTATATAAACTAGTTCAACTTTGTTGGCATTTTGATTTATAACAGGCACAGAAAATCTATTCAACTACAGAGGTAGAAAAGAAGAATACAGATTCAAAAACAAAGGTATTCTTGATTTTGAAAACTATTACTTAAAAGGACTTCTTGTCCCTAATTTCTGTGCTTGCTAAAATTCAAAATAACTTGGATTAGTGCACATATATTGATACATAGAAACATTGTTTTCTCTTTGATCATGCTGTCAGGGCTAGTTCTTAGAACTAGTGCTGAGAAATTGTGCAAAACATTTATTTTCCTTGTATGTAATGCGCACAAGGATGTGAGATAATATTTCAAAATATATGACAGAGCACTCATTTAAGGATAGACTATCTTGTGTTTCTACATTTTTAATCATTCCTAACCCACATGAAGTCAGTACTATTAAAAGTCAAGCCTACATGAGCTGCAAGTTGGAAGTCCAAATTGTATAGAGGATTGATGTTTAACTACAGCACTTTGGGTGCCATTTTTAAAACTGTTATCAGTGAAACTTGTTCAGAGAAAAGGTAATTGGGAGAAAATACTATTTTTTAAGCAGAGTGCTTTAAGGAAAGAGAAACTTTTGCAAAAGATCTCTGGGCTGTGACACGTTGAAGTTTCCTAGCTAAGAAAACTCCATTGAATGGAAGAAACATGAAGAATACAGGGTAGAACAAATAAAGAAACTGCATGCTGCCAAGCTGAGTCTTTTTTTATTGTTGTTTTTTCCACCTTTTTCTAGGTCTTGCCAACTGCAAAAAGGAATATAATTCAGAGCAAGCAGGACTCTGCAAAGAAAATCACTCTTTCGGAACACTGTAGGCTGTGCTTTGGAGCACTTCACAAGGCAATCAGTGTCTTCACAGATAGTCTCAGCAGCAACCAGCCCCCTGAAATCTTCATATCACACAGCAAACTGATCATTATGGTGGGGCAGAAGTTAGTGGATTCTCTCTGCCAGGAAACTCAAGAAAAAGATGCTCGCAATGACATTCTCCATAGCAGCAGCCAATTTTGCAGCCTGCTCAAGAACCTGGCGCTTGCCACCAAAAATGCCGCAATCCAGTATCCAAATGCAGACGCAACGAGAGAACTGCAGAACCAAACTGATGCGCTCTCTAAATACACCCAGCAATTCAGAGCAAAGATGGAATGACAGAAACCTCCCTTTTTTTTTTTTTAGGATTATTGGTGAAAACTTGAATTTCTCAGTTGCTAGGATTTTTTTTTTTTTCCTGGCACTTGCCAGCAAGGAGGCAGATGCAGCTCCAAAAGGTCAGCTCCCATGGAGGGATGGGCAGTTCCCTCGGGCACTGATGCACTCTCAGCAGGTGAAGACCCCATAGGATCTGACTGCCCCAGAAGAGCATTTGTATAAATAAATCTGTGCTTTTATTTCCACCCTCCAGACCCTTCCTGTAAACCTCTACTTCTCCATGTCCATTTATTTTAGCAYGATAATTTTAGTCCCCGATTCATTTAGTATCTGATCTGAACATTTTTTWAAAAATAGATATAAAATATATTTTTCTATTTTTTTTTTCTATTGGGTACATAAGATCTTTTTACATTTGGTGGCATATCAACCCACAAATTATGACATGTCGCTGTGTAAAGCTATCATCAACTGTTTCTAGATGACTGTACTCAATTTTGTAATTTTTTTTTTTTTATAAATCCACTTTGCTGTTGTTTAATGTATAAATGTGATAGGGGTGTTATAGGACAAAACGTGGCAGGCCCTGGGAAAGGCAGCAGCACTGAACAGCAGAGCACAGAGGGAAGAGACTCAGGGGAGCTCTGGCTCCCCGTAAATCCGGGAGGAAACCACCTCAGCGGTCTTCATTTAAACACATTTCAACCTAGCGTTCCAAATGGAAGAAAAATGTATATATTGACTGCAGTCACTAGAAATACTGAGGTTTTGGGGAACTTCGTCCTACAAACTGCAAACAGGACATCATTCCTCCCTTGACGCTTGTAGCAACAGCCCAGGCAGACGCTGCTCCCTCAGGGGCTCACAAGCATGGATTTTGGGGACTCCTAGTCCTAGTTCATTAATTTTATCCTGAAATCTGCTGGATCCGAGCTCCACAGTGATGGCAGCCTGGCAAACGGGATAGATSGTACACACGCATCATTGGTGCTTTTGTCATTAATTTATTTAAAAGTTGTATGTGAATTTTTAAACCATGGCCTCTCTTGGCAAAGCTGTACCCTCTTTTGTTTCCTTTTGCTTTTTCCAACTAAAGTGGGCAGCGAGTTTCACCCGCGTTCCTGGCCGCAGCTGTCTGGCCCGACAAGGGCACCCCTAGGGTTAACTTTAACCTCGCGCCAGTTTTATTTTCCCGTTGCTGTCACCACGTTACACGTGTTTAAGCGCAGCCACACGCCAGCGCGGCGGCGGCTCGAGCCCCGCGCGCGTTTCGTGTCTCCCGCGAACCCCCTCGCGGCCGTTAGGGACTTTCCTTGCCCCAACTGTGAGGAACGGCCCAACGCGGAGCGTGGGGGGAGCTGGGGCACCTTGCCTGCCCACAGCGGTGGGTTCTCGCAGAAAATAAATATAGAAAGAAGGAAAATAAATAAATAAATAAATAAGTAAGTAAATAAATAAATAAATAAATAAATAAATAAATAAATATCTTAAAAATGTGCAGCATGCCAGGGCCGGGGAGGGAGGGTGCAGCCCCCGCCGGGCATCGTGGTACGTCCCAGTCCCCCTCCCCCCCGCCATGGTCCTTCCTCCCGTCCCGCAGCCCCGCCCTCAGCCCCGCCCTCAGCCCCGGGTTGCTATGGCACGGCGATGACGCCATCAAGGCTCGCCGGAAGCGCCGCTTGGTGCCGGAAGCGCGGCGGCGGCGGCAGCAGCGATGGGTTGCGATGGCGGCACCATCCCGAAGCGGCACGAGCTGGTGAAGGGGCCACGCAAGGTCGAGAAGGTCCGAGCGGGTCGGAGCGGGAACGGGAACGGGAACGGGAGCGGGAACGGGAGGGCGGCAGCGGCCGGGGCCTGCCGGGGCTGTGCCTGGGACCGTGAGGCTGGGCCCTGTCGTCAGGCCCTGTCGTCCGCGGAAGAGCTCCCTGGATGTGTGAAATTCGGGAGAAAAAGCACTGGGTAGACGAGGAGGCGCTGGAGCTCGCCGCTGTAAAGCAGCTAAATGACTTTGCTTTTGTCTCCATGTGCTCTGCGGCGCTACTGCCATGCTGTGCGATTCCTGTTGCTTTTAATTTGTGTTTTTCTTGTTTGGCCTCCAGTGCCGTACTGGGCTACAGTACCGAACTGGAGCCTCGGATAACGCCCTGATATCTGCAGCATTGCTTGGCTTGTGTTTGTTCCTGACTGCGAGTGATACAAAAAATAGCAGATAAGAGAGATAGAATTGAGAGAAAGAGGAGAAAATGAGGGTAGTGGAAAACATGCGAGGAGCAAAAAGTAAAAGAGATGAGAATTGGTGGAAGTGGCCAAGAGGAAGAATGCTGAGTTAGAGCTGGGGAGCAAACGCCCCTGCGTTTGTTAGTGATCTGTAGAGGTGAATCTTTGAAACTGAGCATGACTTTCACTGAAAGTCCATTACCATTTACCATTATTTTGGTAAATAATTCGTGGAATAGCTTTGTGGCAGGCAGAATTGGTAGGATGCCTGGGTATTTTATTTGATATTTTCTTTTTATCAGGTTGACAAGAATGCTGAATTGGTGGCACGGTGGTACTACTGTACTCTGAGTCAAGAGAAACTCTGTCGACCAATTGTAGCCTGTGAACTGGGCAGGTACGAATGTTTGCATGTAGAGTTCTCTATTAAAAGGGACTACTTTCTAAATAAAGGTCAAATATTTACAAGCACCAAATATTTTTTTCTACAAATTTATTGTTGTAGGTTGTATAATAAAGATGCTGTCATTGAATTTTTGTTGGACAAGTCATCTGATAAAGCTCTTGTGGAAGCTGCATCACATATCAGGAGCATTAAGGTAAAAAAGTTGTATCTAATTTTAAAGAAGGCTATAAAGGTGAAAATATGCTATGAAAACTCAATTTACTAATGTTAATATTCAGAATATATTTCCTTTCAAGTGCCAGAGAGGCAAATGTGATAAGAAGATGGATCTCTATTGTGTATGCTTAGCGGCAGCAATGGTCATAATCTTAATATCTTGGCATGGAATTCTTAATTTTTTGGACAGCAAAATCTTGCTAGTAGATTTTAATCATTTGGTTTTGATCTGAAGACACAAACATGGAAATTACACTGTCGTAGACACAATGGCTTCTTACATAAATAAAAGTTTGAGGCATTGATGGTTTGAATCAGGAAAGAGTAATTAACATTAGTTAATTAGTCAATTAGTCAATTAGTCTAATTAACAGACTTGTAATTTTTTTCTTAGAGCTGCAAGTTTAGCATTTACTCAGATGGCAGTCAGAAGTAGAATTTCAACAAGTATTGTCAAATGTCTTTCCAACATGCATTTATTGCATGCATTATGTATTTATAATTACGCTAAATTTCTCTGTTATTGAACTTGTGTTATAAAATCTCTTTWAAAAATGTCACTAACTAGAAACTATGTTGTTTCAAGTCCATTAGGAAAAAAAATATCTTCAGGAATGTTATTATGGTTGACAAATCGCCAGCAAACAACTCAGGACATGCCTTTGTATCTTTCAGAGTGTTACAGAACTAAATCTTGCAGATAATCCAGCCTGGAGTGGTGATAAAGAGAGCATAAAAGGTGACAAGTACGATGACATCCAGTGTGGACGTTTTATATGCCCTGTGGTGGGCTTGGAGATGAACGGGAGGCACAGGTCAGTGTTCTTGCTTCTGTATTTAATTTTCAAAAATGAGTTGTTCTAAATGGAATATAGAGCAGGTAGAGTAGTTTAAAGCAATAACGTCGAAAGGCAGGTGCTTGTACCTACCTCAGCCTTTTTGGAGAGTCTTTGCCATCCAGTTAGAAGGGAGTTGGGAGATCAAGAAAAGGTCTCTATACTTTCCTCCCTTCCAGTTCAAGAGGGGAGATGAAATGTATTCCTTTACACAAGCCAAATTGTGTCTATAAATGAAAGGGCAACGGAGGGCAACATTTGCAGGGAAGAAGCAGCGTTCTGCTATTATCAGGCCACGCCACAGGAGCTTTATGTGACCAAGGGGAGGAAGGTCAAGTGAGACCTTCAGTCTCACTTTGGGATGGAGATGAACTGTGCAGGGCTGTATTTTACCTGCACAGAGTTTCTGAACATGACTGTGYGACTTGCCTTCTTTTCTTTAAAGGTTTTGCTTCTTACGGAACTGTGGCTGTGTGTTCTCTGAACGTGCTCTCAAAGAAATTAAAACAGAAGTTTGCCACAAGGTGAGTTTTTCTTCAGATTTAGTAATGGAAGGGCCATGAATGACCCTAAATGATATATATACCTATAGTTGTGTTCACATCTACTATTTTATAGTGGGTTGTTGTTGTTGTTTTGGAAATGGAAATGTATTTCTTTATAATTAAATAATGATAATTTTCATAGTAAGTATTATTTTTCTTGAGAGAGGTTTTACAAAAACTACTTTCAAATAAAGTGATGTTTTTTCGCAGTTACATGGCTTATTGTAGAAGGTATCAACTACGTTTCACTAGCACTTTATAGTGCTAGTTGTGTCTATAGATCTCTAGCTAAGAACAATGATACAAATTGCAAACACTGTTCTTTTTCATATCTCTGCTTTTGTAATCAGGGATATTTGTCGTGACTCTAGCGGCTACTTTTAAGAGGAGTTACTTTTCAGTCAACACCCTGATATTTGCTATAATGTACAGTGTACTTAAAAGAACCATGAACCAAAGGCTTTCTTGATAAATTGTTCAAGGTGATAGGGAATATTGATACTTAAGTGTAGTCTCCTTTTGCTATTCAAGGTTAGTTGAAGTCTGGTAACAGCCTTCTGCTCCCCTCCTGTATGATATTGATCTATTTTTAGATCAATAAAAATTTTTAAATTTTWAAAAATTTTTAAATCKATAAAGTGTGAAATTTTCATTTCACACTTTGCTGTTGCTAGATGGGGGGGTTGTATGATTATTAAATACAGAAATGAGATGTTTTAACCACAGCTTGTCCAGTGTACTAATCTTGAAAAAAGAAAGTTAGTCCTTCGTATTCTGTGTTTTCTTACACTATGTTTGTTTACAGAAACTGTTCATCACAATCTCATATTTGAATACAAACATATGTATGAGCATATGGATTCTTGACCATATTTGGAGATGCTTCTAGGAATATTTAAATGCGGATAATAGCTATTCTGTCTTTTATTATTGGGCTTCACAGAAAGACAAATATGTCTCTGGAAGAACATTCCTTCTGGAGTATTGCTTCYGGTAACAGATAATTTTCTATGTGCAGCAGAGCTTCAGAGACTTGTTCTAGAAAATTAATTCCTGTGGGATTTGTACATTGTCCGAGCATAGAATATCTGTTTTTTAAAGTCTTGCTGGACTACAGTAAAGTGGCTCTGTAACTTCAGGCTTTCTTCAGGGTAGAAGTATGAGGAAACAGTGTGTGRTGACTGTTAGTTAAGCCGGTTAGCGCAGCACCTAAATCACTCAGTGTCAGCACTGTACCTTACTGTACTGTAACTTACACTGTACCTTACAGCACTGTACGGACACTTCAGCAGCATCAGCACTGTGCTTTATAGCTTAAAAAGGCCTTCTGCTCCTTTCAGTATCATATGGAGTATGTTTATGACTACATTTAACTTTTGACAGTGGTTAATAAGTTTTCTGTTGATTCTGTCCAAAATCAGCAGTAATTAGACAACTGTGAGTCAAAATCTTGACTCCCTGTCCTTTGCACTTTTCCCTTTAGTTAAAACATAACAGTTCCAGTTGTCAGCACAGAGAGCAATACTGTGCTTTAATGTTTTTTATTACATTTCTACTTTTTTTTTTTAATCCAAGAGTTATGTGAGAGTTTTACTTCCTTGACATCACTGTTTTTTATATACGTTCTATGTAGTGGATGCATTAAGTTTTTTGAAGCATGCTCAACATCTCTAATTACACATTCTACAACATAATGCTTAAGAGCAACTTAAAAATACAAGTAAAACTTGCACTATTGCTTCACACAAAGTGTGTTTTGCTTGAACTGTATGCTTGAAGTTTTGTGGAGTAAGGGGAGAAAACTTAAACTGTCAGTAGGAAGCCACAAGCTAAAGTGTGCCGGAAATGACTTTAGTGGGCAGGAAGAGAAGTGACTTGACTTTGTGTCGCAAGATAATTCTGTAGCAGGAAGCCCTGAAGAGCAGCCAGCTTTCTGTTGGCCCCTACTTCTTCCCAAAGATCAGTGAACAGGAATGATACATGAAATGGAAACTGTCCTTTTAAAATTTGCATTTTTAAATAGAAAATTTTAACCTACTGTTGTTTTTATTTCTCCAGTAGATTGTTAACATTGAAAAGGACAGCAAGAAAATTTCTAATCTCTTTAGTGTGTTTGGAAGTATCGTGACCAATATTGTCAGCTCTGTCCATACTGCTCTGCAGCTGGGGCCAAAGTCATTAAATGTTCTGACACTTCAATTTTCTAACTGTTTTCCTAATTTTTGTATGGACTGTCAGTGTTTGCTACATTTTAGTTGCAGTTTGTTATTTTACAATAGCTGAGTTGTGGGAGAAAGTGGAATAAAAGAATTGTGTTCAAAAATGTATCTATTTTACCCGATTTTTGTGGCGTGCTCACTGATTTAATGCTTTAGCAGTACTGATCTGCAGATTTCATTTCCAAACCGGTAATTCTTCTTATGTAATCCAAGAATAATATGCCTTGTGCTTCATATAGTTAATACCTTGCTTGTGATCATCCTAGAAACTAACCTTTTTAACCTATTTTTAAAAATGTGGTCTCTTGCATGCCTTTAAAATTTATTTTATAATTTTAGAAATGTTTTCATATTCAGCAGACAACAATGCACATAACCCACGTGTTTAACTTGAGATACTGAACCGCTGTACACGTGCCTCGGGTTTTTTGAAACAGGAACTATGCACACATCTTTCAGATACAGAGATTGTGCGTTTGCAATACGTTATAGTACACACTGTTTCCTTGGACAAGGTCACATTGATGCTATATGCTCTTAGATCAACAGTTATCAAAAGTAAGTAAGCACATTGCCAGGATCTCGGCATTTTGGATGATCCACTTTTTAAAAAAAAGTATATTAAATGTTCTGGTCAACTATCACAGTTGAATTACAACTTTTTTTCAACTTACTTAAAAACACACGATGTTTGAGGGGAAAAAAAAAGATGATTTAATTAGGATTATTTGTTGTTGTTTTTGTTGTTGTTTTATATAGGTGAAATTTTATGATAATATATAAATTTAAGGAAGTAGGATCACACTCCAGTGAATTTTCTGGATCGTCAGGTGTAGGGTTACCTAAATCGTATTTCAAGAAGGAGTTTTCCTACTTCGGCCAGCCAGACCCTGCAAACCAAGCCTGTGCTTCTTCAGAAGGAAGACACACAACGATTGTCCTGTAAGATAGCAGTGAAAGGTGAAGCCAGATATTGCTACAAACATAACAAGATGAACGTAAAAACAACATAAGAGTAGAAGCTAGCAGTGCCTTACAGTGCGTTGAATGTGCTTTAGTTAGAGATTCATTGCTAATATTGCCATGATTAATACCTGCTAGAAATCCTCAGTGCTGGTTTTCAGAGGGATTCTGAACAAGCCCAGTGTGAATGTGCTGCATGATTTTTTTTCTCTGTGAAAAAAGTATATTGAGCAGTAGTTGGCCCCAAAATAAGCCATGGAATATACATGAGCCTGAGTACAGGCCTTTGACAGACTTGGCGAATTTGTATAAATAAATAGGGACCAGATGGTCTTTCTTTAGGTGGAAGTTCATCTAAAAGAAACTATGCTTCCAAGAAAACTTGTGTGGGAAAATACGCAGGAATCTGGGAATAAGTTTGGAATAAGAAACTAAACTTTTTGTGTTCTGCTGCTGACTCGGTCTTTGATTAGTTTTGGTTTTTGTAACTCCAAGTTACAAAATGACTTAATCTGCAAGACGTTTTTTTCAGTAGAAAATGAATAACTGGTGCATATGGAAGTTTACATCTTTATAATTTGTAGTTTCTCAACATGTAATAGTATGTGTTTTATTAGGTCCCATCAAAGCTTATCTAAAAAACGGGAGTTTGTGTGTATTTACTGGATTGCTTTTTTTGTCTGTGCCAAATAGTAAGGGAAAAATGAACAACTTGAAATGACTTATCAAAGTTCAGGTTTCCTCAGGTCAATAATTCCCATGTTTTCTTGTAACAAACTTAGGCAGACACAGAGAAAATGAGGATCTTGGCTATATTGCATTGCAGGATCTCTGTTCCTGCTGCTGACGCAGGTTCCCTTTTCATCAGGAGCGAAGCTCCTGGCGGGAGCGCTGCACAACGAGGTTAGAGGTGCAGCTGGCCCTGCACAGAGCAGGAACATGGACAGTGTCTGAACCCAGCTGTCACTGGCTTCCCTACCGCCTCTGAAGCTTTCGTGTAAATCTTATTATTGAAAAGAATCTACTTCATAAGGCATACAGTACAAACCACTTTAACTTTTGCTCTTAATATTTCATTTTTATGCAGCTTTATTATTTGCATACTGGTCAGTCCTTTCTGCAGCAGCAGACACAAGGAATATTTTTTTCCAGTTAAGTAACTCACTTAAGGAGTAAGAACCACCCCCTTGCCTTTAGCAGATTGTAGAACTGCTGGACTGTTGACTTGCACGATCATGTTGTTTTTGTTATTAATATTAGCATTAACCCGTTAGCAGTTAATTCTTTCTATTTTACTGTAAGAAAACTAACTGCTTGTTTCACAGGTGAACAGTAGTACAGTATTGTGCATATTCTTATGATATCATGCACAGAGTGAAGACTATAGCTAAACTTCTTGTTATCTGGATGGTTTCTTTCAATATTTTCTGCACTGCTTAAATGTGTCTTGAGCTCAAACATTCAGTTTCATGTTGAAGTAGTTATTTTCCTGAAAACGCCAGTGATCTTCAATGGGAACTTCTGCTTGCTGCAGTACTTTGAGCCTGTAGCGTCTCTCTAGGCAGTCCATAACAAGTGGATATGTTGCAGGTTCAAATTTGTTGGCAAATAAATGAGGTGATTCAATGATCCACTGTAAATCCCCTAGTCCATAGACACAGATGTCTCTAATGTAATGACCTGCAAAGACAAATGGAAGGTATATGAAAGCAGTAGAAAAATGAATTGAATCATTTTAAACTAGACTTAAGTATCTGACAAACATGCTTGTCAAAAGAAAACCTGTTTTTCATTGAGATCTGGTTAGTCACGTTAATGCATTGGTTAATGTAATAGAGGAAACAAAGCCAATGTACAGAAGCTCACAAAAGGTAAGGTCCCCAGGAATACAACATGTGTGCAGCTCTGTCATTAACCTGTTCAATTATGGAAGCCYAGTAATCGGAGATTGAAAGCACAGCTGTCAGTGTGTGGATCCTGTGGTGATCTTTGCAAGGATAYATCAGGAGATTTTTGGATTGGACACACTGGAGTAATTTAGTAGAATCACCTGCTGGTTTATTTCATACTTTCCAAATAAAATATGCATGACTTTGGGGACATACGAGATGGGTGGTTTTAAAGCATAATATGTAATTTGCAAGAACTGCTAGTCAGTAAAGCAAATTGCAGTTCATGAGCAAAATTCACCTTACCTTTGCAGCCTTTGTGTGTGGTTCCTTCTTGGTCTTTCCATTTAATGGCTCGGATGTTTCCTTCCCAGTCTGCATTCGGTGTAGCGCCTGGAGCATCTTTAGAAACATAACAGTGTGATAAGATTTCTTTCTATTTGCTATAGGGATAATTCACCTGCACCATAGTATTATTTCTCTGGAAGCAAGAGTGTTATTTCTAAAACAATCAGGAGATGTGAAGCAGCAAGGCTGAGGAGATGACCATATCTAGGCAATTAATTCYCTTAAGGATGTTGTAAGGCCCTGAATCTCAAGTCACTAGTTCTCTGTATCATAGACTTGACAATATTGTTATTTGGGGGATTATTCACAGTACAAATAAGATGCAGCTTACCATTTAAACGGTTCAGTGTGACCCAGTAGTGTTCATCYGGGCTGTAGGTGTCTCTTGACCATTCCAGCAGTTCCTTTGCACGTGCATCAGTCAGTGTAAACTCTACAAACTCCTTAGTGAGTATGTAATAGGCACTACCAAAATATATTGTCAAATTATATGGAGCTTTAGCTTTTACATTCTTTGTTGGATACACATAAGACACTCCAGAATGTACATATTCTCTGTAACTAACCTGTGTCCTGTGTTTCATATGAAGCGGTTGCACTACTCCAGGAGTCATATTTTTACCATTCCATTTGCTTTTGATGTATTGTATAATGTCCTTGTTTGTTTTGATGGGATAATCCTGCCCACATAAGTTAATAACGTAACTCCACTGAACTTTGGAATGGACTAGATCCCTCATGCAGTTAATATCCGCTTGTAGTCTTGAAAATCCTGCGTAAACAACATTTTCCCTTTTTGAGGAAATAAAAATATTTTCAAAGCAGTTAACAATGTTTTGTACAGCAGCTTTATAATTTTTCGGTGACTTTTCATCAACGTGTATGCAGTAAATATTCTGAGGCATGTAGATAGCTCTTAGTAGCTTTACAAACATTTGCAGCTCCTTGTGAATTGTGATAATATACGCCAATGAGAAATTTCCTTCTTCTTCAGACAGTGGCCTTGTTATAAAATGCAGGTTTTTCAGAACCRTGGAGCAATTGCAGGTAGTCTGAATGCAGCCAAGTGCTTCTGGTTGGTAGGTGTTCTGGCAAAAGTTTCCTATTTGAGAGGCRGCGCTTTTCCCCACAAAAAGAGCTGAACAAAGTTCGTCTGGATAAAAACCACACTCTGCTGTATCTCCAGCAAATTTTTCTTCATTTGGCTCTTCTGAAAGTGTGTTCTTTAGGTAGATGAAAGTGTAAATGAACATGCAGATCGCAATGCACACTAGAAATCCTGATTTTGTTGCATCAAGTGGGTTCATTTTTTATCTTCAGGATGATGTCTTTTGGTCATAGCTTAATTACACATTCAGAATATCTAAAAAGAAAAGTGAGTTAAAGAGCGGGAGAGAAGCTTGCCGACATTTAAAGGAAAAAAAGATGATGTGACAGTGATTCATTTACAGATCTTGCAGTTACTCTCTTTCCTGTCACTCTGTGTGCCCATATGCCTGCTYGTGCTGGAGAACACAGCCACTGGAAATGGTACTTGCAGGACCATGAAGCATCTGTGCTCAGATGAACTAATGAGCCAAATAGCCAGGCACGGCCCACGTCATGGCTTGGGCAAGTGGAGCCCAGCCCATTGGACTAAAGCTAATTCTATCTTCGGTCAGTAGGTAAGTCCTGGGTCGTCAATTGACCACGGTTCAGCCCTCAGAATAGAGAAGGTGCACGAGGAGTGCACAGCTAAAGGACCATCGTTGCCAAGACATGTTTGAGGCCTTAAGATTCTGCCAGAAAAGTAAATTTTAGTGATCAACCTCTGCTTTTTTGGCATACTCATCTGAAGAATGTAACTAGAGCCAGACATTCCATGGTCCTTTGACCTGGACCATGGAGTATATCTAGGATATAATATATCTATACTCCTGGACTATTGGATATGCAAGATATATGCATATGTATATCTCTATATGCTCAGATATACTGTATATCTGTCTATACTTTTTTAATTAAAAGAGAAGCATTTTGGTTGCTGTGGCTGCCATATACTGAGTGTATACGTCATGCTTTAACTGTATTCAGAGCCAGCGTGCTCCCATGCTACCTGCGAGCACAAGGAGCTTCCACAGAAACAGATACATCCCAAATAAGGCTAATTTTTACTAGCCTTAATGTTATTGCTGTCAGCTGCAGCTATAGCATCTATGGATTCAGAAGATTACAGGCGTTTATTTTTTTTTTTCCTTACTCTTTAATGGTGGTTCAGGAATGGTAAATATTTGCATAGTTTCTTATTTTTCTGTTGTTTGTGCAAGATATTCTGAAATGGCTGCTGCTTTGTCACAAATTAAGAGGACTTAACTGTTCTGTTTGACAACCTTATGTTCCAGTTCACCATGACCAGCAGCAGAAAAATTATTAAATAAACAGAGTGAAAAGTCTTAAGTTGTGCTTCACAAAATACATCCTTTGTTCTCCTTATAAAGTCAGCAAGGCTTTCTAACTTCAGATCTCTTTTTGCCTCTCACATCTTTATATTAGTGATTTTGAAAATAAACCATGTAGGCAGCACTAATTCCTTATTTTTAGCAGACTTGCATATCCAAGATAAAGTATACTACTGTCAAGATTAACATTCATAGGGAAGTGTATAATTTATATCAGTATCAGCATAGAAGACTTCTGCTCTCCATTTTCATGAATATCTTTTTCTTACAAATACCTTCCTTGCTGAAAAGTCAGAAGCATGACAGCACAGAAGTCCTGAATCCTTTGGTTAGTATGTGGAATCTTTTCCTTGAAGCTTTTGATGTAGAATTCCTAGACAAAATTCCTGGAAAGGGGGGCAAAATTATTCCATCAGCTGTTGGTAAACTTAGTAGTTATACTAAGAAAGCTTTAACTGCAGTTTTAGAAAGTACTCGTGTTCTCTTGTACATAATTGTAGAAAAAAAATGTATTTCACCTGTAAATCTTTTATGCTTTGCAGCTATCAACATCACAATGTGTTTGCTATTACCTAAGAACAGAACAGAAGGATTTTTTAATGAATGGGGGTTTTTTGTATGAATGCTGTTGTAGTTTGAGGGCTAGAAAGATTTTTTTTTTTTATTTCTTTTAATGTAAATTCAGTATATATCTCTTAAAACTTAGAAATAAAGAAGGCATTGCAGTTAAAGTAGAAATGAGACACAATTTAAAAAGCTTCAAAAGTAGAAAAGTTGAACCAACAAATCAGATGCTCTGTAATACTAAAATTTTAAGAACTTATTAGGCAGTTGGAAAAGGATGTATTAATTGTCCTTACTGGTATGCACTGGATTTGATGCTGGAAAAATGCCTCCTTTCCACTTAGCATTCCAGAAGGAAGATTTGTGCATTAGGTGGAGGATTCTTCCATTTTGCTTCTCTGTCAACAATGCTGTTCCCTCTGCATTGAGTGCACCAGCCTAAGAAAAACAGCATGAAATCAGGTCCCAGAAGGTTTTTTTTCTTAGCAGCTCCTAAGGGATACATTTACTTTGTAAACAACCTTGATTGTGAGTGTTCCATCCATTTAAAGTAAAAACTTGAGCGTTCCTGTCCACATCAACCTTTCAAAAAGAATGTAGGGGAACAAATGCCTTCAAAAGGTGGAAGCAAGGATTGTCACAGGAAAAATAGAAGATGCTGTAGCAGTGTTTCATTGTGAGTAATTACAGGAGAGACATTGAGGTTGCTCTAAATTAGTGACTGTGATGAGATCTTTATGGTCCGTGTCACATGGAAAGTTCATTCTTGGCATGTGAATTACACTGAAGACTGTGGGCTGTTATAAAACAAAAGAAATAAATATTTGAGGCTTTTAACTGCTTAGAAAATCCTGCACCTGAGCAGGATGAGAGTTGTCTTTTTTTTTTTTTTTTTTTTTTTTCTCCCCTCTCTCATTAAATACGTGTTTGTGGATAGCTTGCAAAGGATAGTTCCCAAGGGAACCCAGCTGTAACCTGTTTGTGTCTTACAATTGCATTTTTATTATCCATCAAATAGTAGCTTCCAGGGATGTTTCGGGTTAAGAATTTGCTGTGGATTTTTCCTTTTGAACTCCGTAACATCTAGACTCTGTACAGCAGTATAAATGTACACAAGGACTCCACTGAAGGGTAAGAAAACCAATCCTTTCACAGTGATAAAATATTTTAGGGGAATGACTAAATGATGAAGACCAACCTTCAAGAACAGAATTACAAATCTTTCAACCTGAGATATAAAACGGAATGAAAATTTTGGCCTTCTGGTGGTGTTTTTTTCAGATTGAGAGCTAGAATTGTAGCTGTCATTCCCACTGGATGTGCAGGTTGTGTCACTTCTAGCCCCTATGCTGTTTGCTGCTGTTGAGGACCATACTGCCATATTTTCTCCTGCCCTTGAAAAGTATCTTCAGGATCTTACAGTTAAGATTATCCTCTGGCCAGGCATAGCCTATTCTATGGCTAAATTACTTTTTCTAGTTATTATTTTACTAGAGTGCCTTTATAGATATTTATTGATACCAAAATATCTCTTTGAAGCTCTTCTGTGTATAGAGCTAAATGTGTTCTAAATGTGGAGTAGAAAAATGCTTTAATTTACAGAAGTGCCAAAATTTGTGTTACATATTCTTCCCCCCCCCAAAAAAAAAAAAAAAAAAAAAAAAATGTAGGCATTTTCAGGCATCTTTGTAGCAGCTCTTGTGGATATTACTTAATGGAAAATTGTTGGCTGCTCCACGTTAAGGTAAACACAGAAGAAAAGTAGGATTCTGTTTGTGTCTGCAAACATGCCTGTAAAAYATCATCCTAGTTCATCAAGATCATTTTGTAATTTGTAGCAAATCATTTTACAATTCACTGTTTTTTCCCCAACATAGAATTTTGTACTGCATGTTGCATCTTTGAATGTTCTGTTTTGCCTAGACCTTTTGTATTTGCTTAGTATTAATGTTTAGATAAACCTCCGGTCAAATGACTTCATAATTCAATGAAATAAAACTTAAGAATGCTTCTTCTAATAATTAAATGGTTAAAACATATTAGCTCTTGTATTACCCATATCTTTTTATAAGTCTACTTTTTGTTTGAAGGATGAAAAAATATTTACACGGGTCTTAAGAGTAGACATTTTATAAGGAAATGAATGTTAATTTTGGTGCTAAAAACAGCAAAAAAAAGTGTTAAAAACAGCACTTTTTGCTGCTTTTGACTTTGATATGCTTTTTCCTCCTATCTAGGTAAGTTGTCTAGGTCTCCTTCTGTGTTATGACAGACATTAAGTAATCAAACCCAACTAATACTGTTTTAGAGATTTGAAATCATGCTTACTTTAAAATACTGGGTCAGCATTTACTCATAAATCTGAAACAGTTTTAAGAACGTGAACCTTTTCATTCACTTTTTTTTTCTAATTGCATTTTTTTTACTGTGTGATAGATGCCCTCAACAGTCTTAMACAAATACTATAATAGCTTTTTAAACAGTTAAGTAATATAAGTTTATAGCATTGTAAAAGTTCTTTGTAAAAGAGCATAACGGGTATTTGTAAGTGCTGTGATTTTTCTGATACTAATAACAGTAAGAACTGTAGATCTGCGAAGTTAAAAAAAAAAAAAAAAGTACAGTTGTTACCCTCAGATTCAAATATTTGCAAAAGGGAAAAATGAATATATTTGAAGTGAAAATATTTGTTGCTCTATAAAAGTTGAAACGGACTTTAATAATAACAAAAAAAGCAAACCCCTTACATTTGACGCTGTAAAATCAAATCTATTCAATCTTACCTTGTACAATATTAGGCAAGAGAAGGCAGCATAATTTAATAAATAAAAGGCCCCATTGTCCTTCAGCAAAATTCAGACAGCGTTCTTCATTCTGTTGCTTGTGTTGGGATCTTGCATAAATGAAAGGGGTTAAATATTAACGTGAATGTTTTCATTTAAAGCTTCATCTGGCTTCCCGCAATGCTTAGCATATTTATTCTGCAGTAATGCTGTTTAGCCCCAGCAGAAACGTCCTCTGCTTCACAATATTGAGAGGAAACTTCATCTTCTCCCAATTTTTGTTGCCGCACTTCTGAGACAGCCTTTAAAGGACCGAAATCAGCCATTTAAATACGTACAGAGCACATTGCTGATGATTAGAAATAGGATTGCTCTACCTCAGGAGCTGTAACCTCTGCACGGCTAACGTGCTAGATGATGAGAATTGGAAAGGAAACAAACCCTCTCTCCTCCTCCCCCTGTTTCTTAACTCTTTGCCTGCTGAAAGTTTCCAACCTGCAGCAATCAAGTGTAGCGAGGAATTGCCTCGGGTCCTTTACATTATCCAGAAGCTAAAAAGGCAGTAAATGACCTCTCTTCTCAGACTGACCATTTACTGCATTGCTGTTTTTGTAAGGGCTTGAGGTGGGGTTAGTAAGTGAAAAATGAGCAGTTTAAAGGTACGAGATTTAAGAAGCTCTGGAGCACTAGAAATGAGTAAGGAGCACTAGAAATGAGTAAGGAAGTAGATATGTTTTATTATGGATAAAAATAGGAAGTTGGTCAGAAAGAAATACACAGAAAACCTGGAAGTCAGTATAGGACAACTGCAGGTACTGCAGATGCAAAATTATCATTGGGTTTTTTTGGAAATTGGAAATTTTGTAAATCGTTCATCTTTAACGGTGTTTTTATGTAGATGCTTTAATGTTTGTGTGCAARTTTAACAATCTGTGAGCGAAGATGTAGAAGGCAGCTTTTCTCCTCATCCGGAGTTACAATTTCCCCTTTGTCCCATTGCCACAGAATATGGTGCCATCAGACACAGAATATGGTGCTCATCAAAGCTTACGCTACCAAACTGCCTGTGAACAAGCGCTTGGGAGAGTGACTTTCCCTGAACCTGTTTTTAGTAAAAGATTATTCAGTTTTGTAACGTCTTGTTAATGTATCAGCTTGTGGTGGCTGGGACTGGCAAGCAGACAGCGATTTGGTCCCTGGTTGAATTKGGCATCTGTTCAGTCCACCTTTCTGAATACAGCCCTGTTGATAGAGGGACAGTTGGTTTGTCCTGATATATGTTCTGTAATCTGTTGGGAATTGTTTGTTTTTATGCATTTCCTAGTAATGCTCATAGTTAGGAGAACTGGAGGAATTAGCTTTTACTATTTATCATTTGGGAATAGGAATTCAAGTTGCTGAAATTTAGAGTAGAAGTAGGCTTTCGAAACAGAGAAATCTTCATGAAGTAAAAGTTCATTATTACTATAAAACTCTTGTGTTTTGTTCCCTAAGAAAGACAAAATCTTTCCCCACATTAAAAACAGACTTGAATTTTAAGATTTTAATTTTTCTAGAAAACAGTTTAAGTGCAAAAGATGACATTTGTGCCAAGATAAGTTTGCTTTATTCGCCTGTTTTGTATGTGAGACTTACTATTCTACCTGAGTTATTTAGTAATATTCTCTATTAACAATTGCTTTTCCTTCACAGAATCTCTGATCACTTGTATCCAGGATACAAGTAGATCCAGGATACTACCTGAATATCCTTAAAAATAAATAAAGAATCAATTAAAAATGAAAAAKATTGTACACAAAGGACTGCATGGAAAAAATACACAATTTGTATAGGCCTTTGCATGGAATACTACTTGTTTTAGAACTTGCTCTTCAAGTTGATACGTAACTAAATGTAGTTGGTAAATGTTACCAAAAGCTCATAATTCACTGCTAAGATAAGTATTTGTCCTGTCCTGGAAGAAGAATGTTATCGTTTTACATCCTTGTACTCAGTGATAAAAACCACCTTTCCCTCTGATACTTAAGTGAGCAGCTGTACTAGGCTGTATTAAAGAAGAACTGTTGGAAAAGACAAAGAAAAGGGCAAMGAGAAGGAACGGAAGATCATATAGAACTATTTTTAACAGAGGTTCACTAGTATAAGGATCGTGAAAAAACACTGATTTTGTCATTTCTTTCCTTGAAGTGTGGTGTTCCTTTTCAAGAGGAAGACGTGATTATCCTTAATGGTAATAAAGAAGATGTGGAAATACTGAAGAAAAGAATGGAGGAGAGAAGACTTAAAAGTAAACTAGAGAAGGTAATCATTTTATATTATTTAAAAAAGAAAGAAGTAAATTTCATCTGTTAATTAAATCTTCTATTAGATCTCATAGCTTTTTCTAATAACTTTATGTGAACTGCAGAATTTCTTCAGTACCTGCACCTTGTACTTTGTAATAGTTTTAAAGATAGAAAACCCTCACACAGAATTGTCCCTATGTAGGTTCAAGTTCTATCCTCCAAAATTTTCTTCCGACTAGTAGGCAGTACGTGATGCTCTGAAAATCAGAACTCAATAGTGAGAGTGTAAAGGACAGTGTGCTAGTTATTCTTCAGGGCTTTCTAAAATTAGTTTATTATTTATTTTTGTATTTTTGTATTTTTGTATTTTTATTTATTAGTTATTATTATTAGTAGTAGTATTAGTTAACTCCAATAATGAGCAAATCTTCTGTATTTCACTTCTTTATTTCTGTCTTATTGTGATAGCAGCTTTTTAGTTTTCTATCTCCAAGTTTCCTCAGTTGAGCGTTGGCAGAAATCAGGTGTTGGGGATGCAGGTTCCTGGTGAGATTCTCAAGACCTTGTTGGAATTTYTTTTCATGTTTCATCATGTTTATAGTTGTCCGTGATGCCCAGCAATGCTCCTTTCCAGCACGCTGTGGAGGTCCTCCCCGTCCATCCGCCTCCCCTGTCTAACCAGACAAAATGCCACAGCAGTTTGGTTTTCTAAACCTCTAAGCTCACCTTGCAGTACTGCACTATCACGTGAGCATTCAACCTTTCTCAGCATTGCTATTTTTCCTAAACTAACAGTGCTGGTCTGGAAGATGACCAAGCAAAAACTGCAGCATTGACTTTGTCCAGAGCACAGACAGATGTTCTTGGTCTCGAGCATGAATCATCAACAACTGAGACTGTGAATGGAGGTTGAGAGTCTCACCCCTGTTACTGTAGCCAATTCTGTCTGCCTCTGAGATTAGATACTCATTTTCCTACATTTTTATAAACAGATACTTGCTAATTTACCAGCAAGTGTGTGACTTCTTCTCATCACGGGGTCCTTTCTTCATCTGTGCCACGCGAGTGTCCCTGGGCCTGAGCAAATACGGCAAAAGGCTCCTTACCCAGAGCAATTCTGGGGCCTGATTCCTCTCTATTAGCAGCTCTRCCCTTAGTGTGCTGCAACTTCTGGCCTAAGAATGGGAGGACAGCACTTAAATACATCACTTAAGTACATCTTATGCTGTCTTTTCAGATGCCTCTTTGTTCTTTTCAGTTCTTTGTAATGGAATCTTTAAAAGGATTTTAAAGATCATTAGAAGATAGAATAGTGCAGATTTTAYACTCCATTTTCATATGGAAGGCAGCACTTTCTGTAGAGAAAAGATATAAACATCTCTTTCTGAGGTGTCTGTGGCCTTGGCTGGAATGGTCTGGAATAGGCTGGAAGCTGCTGCGTCCCCTGCAAGATAGAGAAGTACCGAGGACTGCTGGTGCTTCACTGCTTTGCTGTGACAGCAGAGGCAGTTGTGATGGCAGACRAGGAAATCATGTTTGGGTCTGTGAACTCCATCCACTTTTATGGGAGGAAAAAGCCTTTTTATTTGTTTGTTTGTTTATGTTCAGAGAGTGACCTTCATCACTGGCAGGTACCTTATTTGCACATCTCTTGCCAGACCTTGCGTACTGGACCTCAAGTTCTRGAGCCTTTTTTAAGACCATCTTCTCCTGTTGCACCAAGTGATCTTTGTGCAAATAGAACCTGCCTTCCCTGCTATTGCTTGCACGATTTGCTCTAATCTGAGATCTCTCAGCTGCAGCATTGGAGCACAAGTGTCTTSTTTGGTACTGCTATTTGGACCTTTTACTGACCTTCACTATTCAATAAGGGGAACAGTCTGAGTGGACCTGTTCTAGTTGGAGCAGAAAATGCAAATTCCATTTATTTATGACCATGACAGAAAAGTGTTATGATGATACAGCTACCACTAACATAAAAATTATTTAAGCTGAAATGTGTTAAATGCTCCATTTAATTAAATATATATGTACGTATGTGTGTGTGTGTGTCTGCAAATGCCTCATAATTCAGATCCTAGTCACTAAAAGTAACTCTTCATAATAAACCTGCCCGTGACCCTGCGTGAGCAGGGGGGTTGGACTCGATGACCTCTGAGGTCCCTTCCAACCTTCGGCATTCTATGATATGATATGTGATCCCGGGAGATGTTCCATGCGCACCTATTAGCAGGAAAGCCAAGGCTGCTTTTGGAAAAGTAACCCTCTGCCACCACCTCCTGGCTGAGCTCTGCAGGGCCGTCGCACGCGGCTTGTTTCCCCAAGGGTTACTCCAGCTCTGCGCAGCACTGAGTTCTCCTACTCTGTACATGTATTTAAGTTATTTATTTTCATTGAATCTGTGCAGCCTTTCTGAAGTCTCCACTCCATTCTTTATGTATATTGAGTCGGATTTAATACTAGTAATGCCAGTGGCTGTTTTAATACATCTATTTTTTTCCTTTTTTTTTTTTTTTTTTATAGTTAAGGACAGTAATGGGATTCTTGTTGCTGCTGCTTTTTGTTTTCTTTTGTCCTGTTTTTTCTCATTTGGACACACACAAATTGACTTGGAAAATCTGGTCCACAGATGATCTATATTAGCTCTTCTATGCAACTTTTTTTCCCAAGCAATCACGCAACAAATGATCGGGTTACTAAGTAGACCCAGGAGAGGAATATTTTAGTAACTAAATTAAATAAAGTGGATATGTGATGCATGATTATTCCAAAATGTTTATTTTAATCTGTCTTTATTGATTGTAGGTAACTGTGTCTTTTAAAGTCTTACAGGTTAGTGTCCTAATGACACTAAATGTGGATCTAATGTCCTACGGTGAACCACATGGGTTCAAAAYATCAGATTATTTTAATGATAAAAAGGGTATACAAAGCAAAATATTGCATTCACACAGCTTTATTTCAGCCTCTGCACTTATCTGTGAAGTGCTTTCATGGTTTCTGAGATTATTGTCTTTCCACGTGGAAATAATTTCAGAAGTGTGGAGCAATATTATGGATTGAATAGTTCCACTGCATGAAGAAAAAAAATAGCCGATGTATTTGATAGACACGCAGCTTCAATTTTGGTATTGTATATTTTTTTCAGTATATTRTTACATTTCCACTTATATCTTTTTCAGAAATCCAAGAAATGCAAGTCAGCAGAAGCAGCTTCTCAGCAAGATACCACTGAAGGTAATTTCATAGCTATAAATGATAAGTACTCTTCCGAGTCATTAAGCAGGTTTTTGATTTCCCCTTTTTCTTTCCTAGGTTCTCCAGGCCCATCAAAGGTTAAGAACGGAAAAGATTCTGCCAGCGCCGCTTTGAAAGAGAAGAGGCAGATTGTATTCACCAAAAGTTCAGGTTGGTGCAACAAATGGTTTGCTTTGTAGAATATTTTAGAAGAGATCCTTTTCTGTCTATTTTATACCCTTATTTTCAGAAGCTACCCTACCACTCCCTTTCTTTATGGCCATAACTGTGTTATGGTACTGTAATTTGTTGTTAATCTACCGTATATCACTGCTGGCAGTGGACTATACCTGGAGGATATACTGATATTTTTACAGTTGTCACATAGCTATAATTAATTTTATCTGTCCTTTATTCCAATGGTAGTGCCATCTCTTTAGGTAACATGTATTATGGAATGTGCATGTGTCTGCAGTTATGTGTTACAAGCTCAGAAAAAGACTCTATAGTTTTGTTTTTTTTTAAAAAAAAAAAGTGAAGAAAAATTATAGCTACAGATAAACTATCTGAGAAGCTAAGATAATTTCCATTATTTCCATTAGAAATGTCTTGCCTGACACCTACAGTTGTTTTTTTATTAGGGGCAGACTTTTAAAAAATATTTAATTCCAGACTATTATAGTTGCTTGTAGGTGTTTAGGAACATAGTAGTTCTAATAATGCTTGGTAGTGTTATGTGAAGGAAAAAATATATCCCTTTTGCAAGGTCAAGTCATTGATTTATGTTTCTGAARGTAGTTATATTGCTAAACTGGCAGGAGAACAGGAAGAAAGGAGAAATAGAGAAAAATCCATGGAGTGAKGGGGAGATGGGCAGTGGAATGCCAGTAGCATAAGAATTAATTTGTGAACATGGCACCCTAAGGTTTCTGGACTTGCAGTGTACATATTCATTCTTTCTAATCCAGTGTTTGCTAATTCTTTCCAGACAGCTGTTAGTGGCATTAAGAGCAGCATTCTCCAAAGATAAAAAGTTACAATCCATGCCTATTTACGATTGTAYGTGTAATTCCCTTGACTGCATGCACAAATCGGCTAAATGCAATTTCAGAAAAGCTCCCCTGCTAGTTATTTCCATGCAGTTGTGCCTAAATTATACTAAATGCATAGAGTTTCTGCCCTGTTTGCTCAGGAGACATGGTAGGCGCTCCTTAAAATACTGTCCTTGTACTTTTGAGAAGATGAAGTAGTTGGTGAGAAACAGAGTTTTCTAGAGCAGTAGATTAAAAACACCAAGAGAAACAGCATCAGAAACAGCAGGGTGGGCATTTTCCTCTCACAAATATAAAATGATGCAGTCCATTGTTAATGCTTATGACTCTGCAAAGAATAAATTCCCTAGGGATAGTATGTCACAAGTTTAGCTTTTGTCATTTGATAGCTAATTTTCAAGCAATAGTTCAGGGTGGTGGAATACTTTAATGTTTCTTTCTTAAGACTGGATTCAGAGCCATTTCTCACATAGAGGAATAAATATTGTCAGTACTGAATTGCAGTGCAAGGAGTTTCCACAAGCAGGAAAAAATTCCTCTYTCTCCAAGTTTTCTAAACACATTTTGAGAATAAATTCCTTAAGCTAGGAACATGTTTTCAGTACGATTACAAGATATGTTTGTAGGAGTCARTAAATTTATATACTTCATTTCCATACACATTTTTTTAATACTTTATCAATTTTAATTTAAATGCTGCTGTCAATTTTGGGGTGGTATGCATGTTTCATTTTATTGTTTTTTTTTCTCTAGCAGATAATGGAAGTTCATCTGTCCCAGGAAAAGTTAATAAAGGCTCTTCCAGTACCACGAAGAGATCCATTGCAGACAGTGAGGAGAAATCTGAGGCATACAAATCTATTTTTACAACACACAGCTCAGCAAAACGCCCAAAGGAAGAGTGTTCCAATTGGGTTACTCACACAGCATACTATTTCTGAAACAATGATGTGCCTGATTGTAACATTCATTACCACTTTCCTTCCCTAAGGCTCTCTYTCTGTACAACTCTGATAGAGAACATTTGTTGCAATCTGATGTTATCTAGAATTATTCAGTTTGCAAGTTGTTTATAAACCTGGGAATAGCTAATGAACTTGTGTTAGTTGCAACTTCTATTAAATATAAAATAGAAGACCAAAATCTGTGTGCTATCAACAGACCTCAYTTTAAAATGAGAGATTATTTACACCTTTTTTTTTCCATCATTCTTGGTCCTCAGCAATGGGGAGAGAGGGTAGGAGGTTCTGTCTAATGTTCCCTGCTATTGATATTTGTTGTAATTGCAGTTTTCATTGTTATAGTCGAGAAGTCTAGACCTTTTTGAAGCTTCTTGAATAAGAGCAATAATACTTCATTTGTTTTGCTAGCTATGTGGACCCCCAACAGAACGGGTATACATTTCTTAACTGCTCTGTTTTTCAAGTAGTTTTAAGTAATATACATTTTGATGGAATATATGAAAACATAGCCATYGTGAAAATATTTGTACAGTATTCTTATTGCACATATTATTGTAGGATGCTTTTAATAACAAGATATAGACTTGGAAATCATTACCCCCGTAATCACATGGGTATTTTTTTTCCAAAAAATCTTAGGGATTTTGTTGCTAGTTGCCTTTGTTTAAAGTTTGAAATATCAGGTCTGAGGTTTCCCTGCTTTCGTTAGAGGCTYGTAGCAGAGTGGAACAGAAGGGTGAACGTCCTTCCTCTCCTGCTGAAACAGTGAGGTTCTGTGTACATCTCTGGGGAGGAATTTGCCACTCTGACCTGAATTCAGGCTTTTCAGCTTACGTGAAGAATGTGAGTGGGGAGAAAACTGTGCCTCAAAACAAGACGGAGTGGCAGGCAGATTTGAACTGGCTTTTTAAGGAGAAATGATTTGGGATGAGTTTCATGCAAGTCAGAACCCCAGTGGCAGCTGCTGGAGGGATCCCTTCTTTGAACGTTTTTGCCCTTCTGCAGGCAACTGCAGTGGATGATTTCGGCACAGCTGGGGTACACATTGTTTTATTTTCTGACATAAAATTCTTAACAGCGAACAAATATTTGGCTTTATTTCTTGTTACACGAAGATGCAAAATATAATATGTTTTGCTAAAGTAGGGATTTTGCTTCTGTTTTGATCCATATTATCCCTATGACTTTGATTTAAATAAAATTTGAGGCTGTCRTGTCACCATAACAATTCACATTAAGCTGAAGATCATGAAGATCCATGATATATGGATGTTCACTTTGCCAGTATTAGACCATGATAACTTCCTAATTTTAGTCATCATTTATTATCATGCAGTTTTGGGGGGCCTTTTCATTAGAGTTTATCAAACAGGAATATTTTTAACRTGTTAGTGTTGCATTGCAATGACCTTGTGGCTGAGTGGTGTCTGATGCCAGCAATATCTGCGTGACATGATCAGAGAGGAGGCTAGAAGCTTTCCACCTTCCTTTCTTCTTTTTAAATTAAAATCTGCTTTTATAATTGTGATTCAAAATAACCAAAATAGAAGTGAAAAAAGGCATTAAAAAGTTTTTTAAAAACACATAATGTTACATTGTATTTTTGTGTGTGTGAAAATGATTAATTATCCTCCTAATTTATTTTTAAGTGTCCTCTTTTGTAATTGGCAATAGTTAACTGGAAATTCATATGCTTCGTAGGTGGTCTTCATGGTTCAAATGTGTTGAATGAAGCTGCTCAGATTTTGTTATTTTGATAGGTATAATTTAAAAAATGGCTTGTTGTAGGTTTTATGTTCAGGTAAGTGTTTCAGTTTTGCAAAAACTGAAGATGTGAGTGCATCTGTACATCATATGAAACCATTTGAGGTTTACTTGAGCTTCCAGGAAGCAATCAGCCACATTTTATGTGCATGTCTAGTAATCAGTTTTGTTCTCTGTCGTGTATTTCTTCTTTGCTATTATTTTTATTATTTGTTATTTACAGAGGGTGAAATTACTGCACTAAAAGATATACAATGGCAGTCCCTTTGATTGCAGTATAATTCTGTTTTGACAACATATGCCACATTCCTGTTAGTATTTGTAGGAATTAATTTTTCTTTTATTTAGATGAGTTACAAATCTTAAGGAATATTAACTTAATGATTTTGATTTAGTTATTATTTTGCTAAAGAATGAGACGGTGTCATACACAATGTTGCTTCTTTGATAATGTGTTAGGTAAAATCCAAGTTTGCTCACATGATAACAGGTTTTCCTGAATCTTCATGTACACTTAGTGTTTTTATCTGCAATTGATAGTTCGTGCTCTGCCACTTCTTTAGGAAGGCTTTTGTGTGATAGTTTACCATCCTGACTTGGATTTCCTGATGTTTATGGTTTACAGAAGTGTTGTCAGTGACAGATGAAGTCTTCTCCTTCCCTTTACAAAAAGCAGCTGTGAAGGAATGTGATATATTGTTGGCATGTGATGCAATTCATCGCCACAATTGGCTTTTGTTAGTGTAAAATAGAAGAGCAAAAAACTGACACTTCTGTTGTTGGCAGGCTGGGCTAGGCAGTTGAGACTGGAACGTTGACTTGGCAAGTTTTAATAGATTCAAGCAAATAGTTTGCTTGAGGATGTTTGCTTTGTTGTGGTTTTCTTTTTGTGGGGGAGGACAATTTCATTTTCTTTTAATGTAGGTGAATTTGAATGTTGGTGAAAGTTGAAGACTGCACAAGTTTTAGAATCTGCAACCTTCTGTATTTCTGAGATGTCACATAAGGCTCTACAGCATTGCATCCATGTGTCTCTTTGGAGGAGTTCACAGAACAGCGAGTTCTGCTTCCATGAAGTTCAAGCCTTGGCCTCTCTTCTGAAGTGTTTAGAAACGATGCAGTTAATGTCAGTTGTATAATAGTGGGCTGCTTTTGTGATGTGGAACCTGCCTACTGGAAACGGGACTGAAATTCAACAACTTCCTTTGCAGAGCCTGATGATCAGATGCTGGTCATGAAACCTGGCCCAGATAWGCACCAATGAAGAGGGACTGTAAGGGATAATATACTTTGTTTACAGTCCTGCAGATTATCTTTTTGCATTCTTGTGCAGCTTTTAGTACTTTCATTATTCATTCCTGTAGAACTGAAAAACTGAGGATGTCCATGCATTAAAACTCAGTGGACATAAGCCTGGACTGGTTGTCATACTGTAGTTCTACTCCCTGATCACCCCAAGTCAGATGGGGTGTTTCCTGCAGCCTGCCAGGAGATCCTGGAACAGAACAGAACCTGGAAGCTGTTGATTTCTGCTTGTCTCCCATGTCCTCGTGATTCACAGCAGCGTGTGGCCTCTGGCCTTGCGAAGCAGCTCTGATGCATCAGTCTGTGCCCTGTGGTGGCCTGGGAAGGTGTCTGGAGCTCCTGGCTCACTGTGGATTCCCCTTCCTGGAGGACAGGGAACCTGTGCACCAAACACCCAGGAGTCCTGCAGCCCAAAGGTGAGTTTGGGAGGGATTTCTCTTGGTTCCCACACCACGCAGTAAAAGTGACCGACCTCTTTTACTGCGTCATCCTCCCAGTGTGTCCCTGACGTGCACMTCTCCTGACTCACCACATGCCCAGTGGTGTCAGCTCCTTCTTCAGACTGTTAACACGTTGCTGAGCCACAGGTATGTGCGGATCGGCCGGCTGGCAGGTCTCGGGAAGCCCCAGAGCTCGGGAGGYAACCCATCCTGAGGGAGCATTGCTGTGGAGGACATGTATTTAGCCATTTATTCTCCATAAATTCCATAAATTTTGTCTTCCATAAGTTTTGTCTTCAACACTACATCCATGTGAATCTTCATTGAAATTGGGCAATGATCTGGTAAGAAAAATGGACATGCAGCAACCATTTTTTTTAGCATCTGACAGTAAAATTCTCTAGAGAATGCAAAATACTCCCAGTGTGCAGGGGGAGGCAGCGGCGGAGAGGATGAACCAGGCTCTGATAGAGGGAGATTAGAATTTAGCAACATCCTGCTCCTAAATGCTGTAGTTAGTGAATAATAAGCTTCCAGGGACACAATTCATCCTCTAAGGGTATTACAAGTTTTATTTCCCACAGCCTTTTCAGCACTGATCATGGAATTAAATCCTCTCCAATGGGAATACAATTTGAAAGGCATACAGTGGGAAAATGCATCCTGTTGGCTAAAAAGGTTGGGAGGTTTTACKGGAAATTCACAACTCTCTGCTTGAGTCTCTCACTTCCATGCTGTGAGATCATCACAGCCTATCAAATTGACCAAAAAAAACCTTAAAAGTGTTTTTTCTTTAAAAATTATATTTGTTAGATTGAAATATTACTTATTAATGTTTTATTCTTGGCAAAACTGAATGAACACAATTGCCTTCAAGTGTCCTCTGTGTGCAGCCTAGACGCCAATGCTCTTGGTAGATTTTGCCCAAGGTTCAGAGCTGTGGTGACCCTGCCAAATAGTTTCTTARCTGCCTTTAAAAATAAAGGGCCTGTTTATACATTGCAATCCACAGAGGATCTGAGATGAGTATGTCCTAAGATGAATGCAAATCATGAAGTGCCTTGTTGGAAGGCTTCACAAATGTGGAACTGATTACTGCTAGACAGCGCCGATTTCCTTCTGCAAGATGGAACTGATACAATTCCTTCCTGACCACTAGAAATTGGAATTGGCTTGGGATTTTGTCTCTTTTAGRCTTGACCAACCTTCCAAATGAACAAGAAGGATGGAGTCCTCTTCTGCCTGCAGTTGATGGGCATTTTGTCTGCAAGGCAATTTTTAACCTAGATATCCATCCAACAGCCCGGTTACTGCGGAGGTGCTGCCCATACTGCCCAAAGCCTYGGAGCTGTGGTTCTGTCAAGCATTCGGCTTCATGTGGGTTAAAATATCTCCTACAGGTCAGTGACAGAATCCAATTTACAAGTTGACCRCGATCTTTTTTCAGGGAAGAACTGATTTCACCATGACCTTGCGTAAAATGGGATTCTCGTTTCCAAGTCTCTCCCTAGTGTTTCTGTTTGGGTCTTTGCAGCATATCCAGCTTCTGTTCAACCTTTGTGCGATGTCCTTTGGTATCCCCTCTCAAAGGGACTTCTGTCAAAAGTTAAATGCATGACTTGGTGAAAAAAGCTCCTTTTTCATGGTGAAGCATTTTGCTATTCACCTATAACCAACAGKTTTTTTCACCGTTTTCCCCCTTGTCCCCTCACATTTGCTCCCTCCGTTTCTGCTCCTTGTATAAATCTGTTGGTGATAAATCAATCTATCAATGGAGCAGAGATCACAAGGCATCAAGCTGTGCCCCGCTCTTCCACATTACTGTCAGGAATGTGTTTCCTTCTTCCTTGTGACCTTGTATAGATGCGGAACAAATATATCCGCTTTGCAGGAGGACATTTGAAGACTTAATTTGTGATGTTGGGTGGACACAAGACGATCATATTAATRTACAGGGTAATTTGTAAACAGAAGACATGAGGAGGAATGTTTTTCCGTGGGCTGTTGAAGGTTGAAGTGACTCTGGAAAGGAATATGTTGTTAGATTAAGCCTAAAATAGAAACATTTTAGCGGTGTAAGTTTTCCTAATAATCATAAAAGTCACATTTTTATGCTATGAGGTTCCTTTTTTTTCTTTTTTTTTTTTTTAATTAAAAGTAGTTCTGTGGAATCACTTAATATCCAGGTTGCAGTGATAAGTGGTTTTTGCCATTAGCTTTGAAAAGGCTGCATTGAACAGGCTGGGTGTAGCTTTCTGCAACTTGCAAACAAAGCTAAAGAAATGCAAAGCAGCTTATTGCTCAATTATGCTGACTTTAGCAAACTCCATAGGACAAATTAAAAAAAGAAAAAGAGAGTATCTAGTCTCAACCTGGATATTTAATGGGTCCCAAAATGTGCTGAACTCTGTAGTCTAAATGGGCTCTTTAGTGTGGTGTCAAATAAGTTAAAAAGCAAGGGAGCTTTATAAAGCTCGCTTCATTGTTTAAACTTGTTTAACTCATGTTAAGGCTAATGTACATTTATTCAGACTGACAAAGTGCTGAATTTACACAACAGGGATAGTAATAATTAGGTCAGATACTTTTTAAATGGCACTGGCAGGGTGGGAATGCTTAACTCTTTCGTGCTTATGAATGGAAATGATCATTAGCAGAGAGTGAGGCCAG